TCCATCTTAATTGAACAAAACAACCGTACTCTAAACCAACACCACGGGGTGCCTAGATACCTCTTCTAAGTTTTGCAATAGTTCTGGTCATGTGAGTTCTTTGTTCAATACTGTATATATATATATATATATCTGTGTCAGTGTAAATTACTTGAACCTGATGATGACAAAACCTTGTCGAAACGTTGTACATTTGCTGTTATGTTAAACTTATATTAGTGTTTTTCTTCATTACTCATTCAAGCCATCTCCAGCCATTATTATCCTTCAGGTAAAGGTATTCAAACACCTGTCTTTATAACAGTTTTATCTCTTGCTAATATCTCAAAATCATAAGCATTATATAAGTTTTAACAAGCAGTATAATGTGATCTTTGGGTCAGTGTATATGCAGTGTATGTGATATTAACTGTGTTTATGAAGTTTTATAGTAGCACTCTTTAAATAGTTGTATAAATATATTTAAAATTAATATTTCAATATCAAAGTCAATGTGAGAACTCTAAGTTAAATTTTAATTCAAGTAAAGATTTAATTCTCACCAAAAATCATTTCATAACCTTAAAGTAAAGGTCTGTTATGAAAAAAAAGTTAAATATACACTCTTATTAACACACCAAATGCAATAGAAATGAAAAATATTTAAAAATTAAAGGTTTTTGAATAAATGTTAGTTTTGAAACACAGAACAGAAAATTTGAATGTACTGATTGGTTAGATGATACAACTACAGACAAAAGCTTAAGAACATAGTTTAATAACAAGATAGATTTATACAAAACAAGTTGAAATGTTACAATATTCAGAGGATAATCATATAAAAAAAGTTAGCTTAAATATTAGAAATGTACTAGGTATACAAATTAGGAAAAACAGGAAAACAATTACATGTAAAGTTTACATTTACTTAAGAGAAAACTGAAATTCATATATACATTTAGGAGTAGTTTTTAAACAGACACACCTTGACCATTTAATTCAAAGAATTATATGAAAATTATTAGAAAGAAGAGACAGATGCACAAAAGCTTCCGTGTACTGTTAAGTACTGATAGTCAAACACACAAAGGTTTTGATGTACAATTTAGAAAGAAAAGAAAAAAAGACAGAGCTTTTTATGTATAGATTATTAAAAAGAAACAGATTTACAAAGACTGTTATATGGTTTGGTTTGTAATTAAGCACAAAGCTACACAATGGGCTATCTGTGCTCTACCCACCATGGGTATCGAAACCCGGATTTTAGCATTATAAGTCTGCAGACATACTGCTGTGTCACTGGGGGCGACCATTATATATAAGTGAATAAAGATTAGCAGATTACAATGGAAGTTGAGTTTGGTAAAAAGTGACAAGTAAATGTTAGTAAAAGAAGACATATTTAAGAATGAAATAGCAGTTACCTCATCAACTATGGAACAGATACTAGATTGCAATGTTTCTGGTGAAGGAAACAATGTAAAATTCCCATTAGCTACAACCACAGCAACTTTCACCACAGGTGCTTGGCACATACTGCTGACATAAGTTTTACAGTCAGAAGTTTTATACACTTGAATGATGGCACTGAGAGCTCGCTGCAATAGATCTCTTACCTATCAATAAACATAAACATAGTAATAAATAATTGAACTTCAAGCAGGTTTAATTTTAAATTCTACTAAATAAAAAGTTAAAAGAGACCAAAACTTTGAAATTTTGGAAATATATACAATTAAATTCTATTGATATAGCAGAATGAAATTACATTCAGTTAAGAAATATTGAAATTAACAAAAACAAATAAAGTGGAGTACATATGTAACACTTTTAGTTTGTAGACCCTGAATTTCTTGTGGCTAGATTAACATGAAAAAAAAATTAATGGAACTAATATGCTAACACTGGAGATCTGGGTTAGATTAACCCATTTACTGTGGCTGTTAGGTATATAGGTCAGTCTTTTATTCTTCCATACACTGTAGCTGTGCTGTAAGTAGCATTTAATTTTTAAATTCCCCACATGAACTGATAAGGAGAATTTATGAGTTTTGAGGTGCTCTTCATCTACTCACGATGTCAATGAAAACCCATATACTGCATGGCTGTAGTGTATGGAAGAAAAAGGTCCAAAGTGAATGGATTAAGAATATGCCACATTTTGATTAAGCTGTGGAAGAAACCAAATTATAAATAAACTGAATTTTGGTTAATTGTTTAAAAAATAAAGTTAGGCTTATCTATGAATAAAGTAAATTAAAAATGCATTATAAATACACAAATTTGAGTTAAATTATATATACAAGCTCACCTGTATTAAATCTAAGATGGACTAAAAGATTGGATTAAAGTATGAATAAGCTAAAGTGAAATTAATGTATGAAATAATTTAGCAAACTTGGCTAAATTATAAATAAATTGTAATATGCTAATTAGATCTTTGATGAGTAAACTAATTCTAGGTTATTTACAAATACAAAAAATATTCTATTTAACAGATGATAAATGTCTTGCCTGAAGTGTTATGAAAGTATCGATGCAAGAGAGGAGGCTTTTACGTTTGTCACCTTTTAATCCTTCTAGAGCCTTTCTGTTTGCAAGCACAGCTGATACTTCGGGCCACCAACTATATGTATATATTGCCATACAAAATTTACAAATCAAAATTTGAAAAAAAAAGGGCAAAATTGCTCATTGTCTTTGTAAATTTCTTATGGGAGCCCTGCAGTAATTAGTGGGATTAACTATAATACTGATGAATTTTTTATGTAAATTCTTTTTATGACTTGTATACTACTATACTGGAACCTATAAACAAAACGTCATGGGCTCAAGCATTTCAGTGTGCCTAAATAGTTTAGAAAAATGTGTATAAAAAAGCCAATGCAGAGGACTTCATTGGATTGTAGGGCTACAGAAATATTATATGAAATGTACTTAAGATAAAATGTGCAAAAGAAGAACTATTACTTTTATATATATGATGACATATTAAATTATTATTACATGCAAACAAACAACATGCATACAAAATAAAATTTACATTCACTCGATATTTCGATTACTATAACCACTTTCATTAACGCAATAAAAGTCAAATTTGTAATCTTCATTCAATAACATATATATATATATGACAAAGAATTGCAATATGTAAAAAAACCCATATATATTATTCCATCCATCCATAGACAGCAGTACACTGATAATTCTACTGATGCTTAGCTGCCACACAATCATGAATTATTATTGCAAGAAAATGGGGACAAAAGTGGGATCTAACACGCCATGAATACGGAAATGGTGAAGCACATACAGGCAGGGGCACAGCATCTAAGCCATGCATACACAAGCACTCGGGACAAGTCCTCTGGGCGAGTCCAGCGACATCAGCGCGACAGCTTCCTTGAGGCTTTCACTGCCACGCATCATAACATGCCTCGCTTGCCAGTGGACTTGGCAGACAGACAAGATTAGGCAGACAAACCAATAAGATGCCTACAGCACGACCGCCACTGAACCCGGTTTCTCGCCATATCCTGCAGCGTTAACAGCCATTGGTCTGCGGAGTCGCGCGGACCCCATCCAGGGAGTCTAACCCTGCGAACTGAAGCTAATCTACTTGTAAGCCCTTTCGTCTGACGGCTCCAGGTCAGTGCCTGGTCCCCACGTACTCTACGCCAGCTAGGATTGGGGGTAGTAAAGAGTGTCCTATGTGGGAAGCGGCTCAGTGACATACGTAATACATGTCCAAGCCATCTTAGTTTGCTCAAGTTCACGAGCGTTCCTAAATCGGACTCCGGTCCTAGAATATGATCATGGACCATGGAGTTTCGGATCCTCCGGTGCCAACCTATGCCCATAATACCACGCAAGCAACGATGATCGAACACCTGAAGACGTTCGAGATCTTCGACTCGAAGGGTCCAGGTCTCACAGCCGTAGAGAAGAACGGCTCTTACTGTGGTCCTGTACACCCGTCCCTTAAGTTTAAGAGAAATCCCTTTGTGACGCCAAAGATGTCTCAAGTCATGGAAGGTTGCTCTGGCCTTCGCGATTCTCGCATCTATTTCACGCTTCATATATATTATTAGTATGTATCAGATCAAGACTAGAAGAATTTATTATCTGATAAAACTGAAGTAAAAAAGCACTCAGCTTATACTTTGGATCATATTTCCCAGAAGGCCTGATTATGTCATTTACTGAACTAAATAACTCATCAAAAGTAGTCTTCACTAGAGAAAAAGTCAATGAAAAACCATTATGCAGTTTTTTTCAAGATAAATCTTTAAAGGAAAAGTTAAGAATGAACCACTTTAAAATGTTTCAAGTTGTGACATTACATAACAATTACTTATACATGTAAAAGAGTTTATCACTCAATTCCAATTTTGTCTCGGTTTCAAAACATAATTTTGTGGTTTGAGAAAAAATTCTGAGTAACTGCTTGCATGGACAAATAATTAACATAAATTACAGTAACATATTCAAGTTATCAACATCAGTTGTTAAGTAAATACAGAAACTATGAATTACAAGTACAAGTTTTTAGTAGCAATTAAAAAGTACAAGTACAAGCAATCAATTTTGGTTAAGAAATGCTAAATTTATACACAATCCCACTCTACTAGTTACAAAGTAACTATACTAACAATTATTTTCAAGTTCATATACAATCCCACTATATTAATTACTAAGTATCTATAATAGCAATTGCCATATTTTATGGTATATAAGATGCATCCATATTTTAGCAAAAAATATTTAGGAAAGAAACATTTTAATATATTAAAGCATTTTTCTGTTCTTATAACCAATAGAAAGAGCAGAATTCACCATTAGTCTCTCCAGGTTAAGGAGATGTAAGTAATAATTATTTTTCAAATGACTGGCACATTTCCATTGTGGATATCAGTGTCCCCAGTGAGTAAACTGAACTGGCCTGATGTAGCTAAAAGGAAAAAGGTCCAAGTGTCTTTTATATGTGAGCAGTTTAAGAACTTTTGCCGTTGCACATTGCAAAATGTAACTGTAGTATACAGTAGTGTTCATGAGAATTCAGAAACACTTACTGCTTAGCACTAAAGAATCAGATGAACTGCTCAGCTATACTGACACTAATTGTCTTGGATTATTATTATCTATTATAAATCCACTCATAAATTTAGAAAAATTTTCATTAATTTTAAGCCTAGTCATATATTTTTGTATAGATTAATTTTGATATTTTAATCTACAGTTGTCTGGGGAAAGACATGGTAGAATTTAACTTGTGGGGGCAAAACTGAGAGATGCATTTTCTTTAACTTCACTGCCAACCCCTCCCCCCTTTTATATATTAATTAAAGGATGTCTTGGGCATTGAGGTTCAACGTTTATGAAGTTGGTCTACCCTACTCATTTCCTCATTTCTCCCATGATTCCAGTCCACTGGCTTTTACTTCAGCTCTGCAAGATCACATCTTTCAATTGTTATAGTCTAGGTTATTACCATCTACCATAAAGCCCAAATGTGGTAAACCTATTGTCCTATAATTCTATGACTCTTTTCAATTGCCTCCTCCTTTTCAATGTGGGTATTTTGAATTTCAATTTCAGAGTTAAGTCTACTTGATTGGAAATTTACAATTTTAGAATTAAAATCAATTTCAAACAGGCACTTTCCTCTAAAATGCATTTCTACTCATTTCCCTATAACCAGATGATGTGTGGTTTTTCATCATGACTACAACTTCGAAATGGGAATAATGACAGGAAAGCAGAGCTTATATAAAATCTCCTATAAGTATCCAATATAAGCCTAAAGTATTCCCTAACCTTACCTGCCTAACACTAGACTTTCACTTAGTTTGATAACCCATCAACTGCCATCTTTAAATAAAGTTATGCACAGAGTCACAATATTCTATCTAGCTTTCTTTTTCAGTATTCATTGTTTATACATATTTAATAGGCAATAAACTATATTACTTAGTGTCAAAAAATATGCATCAGTCCAGCCATGTTCTTTAAACCTCATGTCAGTTACCTAGGAGCAAAAGTGCCCATTAAATAAAAATTATACCTTTTACCCAATAATATCTCTTGTAAGCTGCTGATAACAAAATTTTGATGAAATAAAACTCAAGTACTTTTCTTATTTTAAACCACACTGAACCACCTTCAAATTGAATATAAAAATGATTTGAAGTTATATTGTACTGTTTTTATCCCACTTACTATGCTAATCTTCTAAAAGGTTGAAACTCTATATATATCATGTAACTGTTTATATGTGCCTTATATTCCTATGCTTTTGCAATGTTTTGAAAAAAAGGCAAATTAAAATTTGAATGCTCAATTTTATTTCAAGCTTAGTATAACTTGTTACTTTACAGAATAAACCACTTATTCAGTTTTAGCTGATATTATGCAAATGAAGATAATACAGGATATTCTAGAATACTTATTTTCTTTACGTTTGCATTAGCTTGGATTCAGTTTTTCCACATTCAGCAATCACAGCATCATCCAAATCTTCTAGGTCAATGGGCCTCTGGGAGCTATAAATAAAGTTCCAAAACAAGTAACATTACTATAAAAGCTGATTTAGCTCTACTGTTCTCTCTAATAACTTGATATAAAAATATACCAAAAGTTACAGCAGCCAGACAGAAATATTTATATCACAATTACAAAGATTCAATGACAACAGTATGTTCAGAATGTACACAATGCCCTTGTGAACAAAACCCAACCTTTGCAAAATGTTTACACTTTCAAGTTGTTGTAACTAATATTCAAGTATTTTACATCCCTACATGATTTTCAAATATTATAGCTGTTTACATCAGGTTGTGTATTCCATTTTGCAAATATAGAATTAAGAGATTTAAAATCAGTAAAAGTGATGTATCAATTAATAGCAAGAAAGTGTTAGTTTAAAGATTTGGGTCTATTATATAAGCAGAGTATATAAATATTGACTGCTTTGCTTATTATGATTTTGTCAGATATTTACAACTACTGATAAAGCAACAGAAAACACGATTTGAATCACTATATGTAACTTATAATAAACACAAAAAAACTTGCTTACCTAAGCATGAAACATAATTATTCTGTACAATGAACATTTTATTATGGGTGATGTAGTTTACAAGTCAATGTTTTATATATAGGTTTACAATACTTGATAATAATTTTTTCAAATTTCAAAATTTCAGAGTTACTTTAGATAAAAAAAAATTATTAAATAGCCAGTAGTATTCATGTTACTACAATTCTTCAAGAATGTTGTAATAAGCAACCAAGAGATATGGGATGTTTATATCAATCACTGAAATGCATGTTAAAGCTTAACTTTAAAACTTAACAAACAGTGTATTTACCTCTTTCATAAGTAAAATTAAACTTTTTTTCTAAACAAACAAGTGTTTACTAGACAAATTACAGAAAAATATTTTGTAGCTAATTACTTCTATTTATAGGAAAGTTGTTTGTTTCCCAATCAAATATTGTGACTTTTTCTGTCATAGTTCAATGAAAATAATGTCAACTTTCTGGCATTAAATCATTTCGAACTATCACATGACAAAGACAAACAAATACTTACTGAACAACACTATAACTGATAAACAAATCTTTGAAGAAACAGTAACTGGTTAAAATTACTTAATGTTCACCATTTGAAATAATAATCCCAGATATTACATTTTACAGAAAAAACATGAAGGAAAAATGATAATATCATATTATCTAAGTTTAAGAGGGATAATATTTGTCTAAATTTAATATTTTATGCAAACCATTTTGGAACAATTTCTTCCAAGCTACCTCCCACCAATAAAAAATAACATACTTACTAAAAAATACTAATATCTATCAACTGAATTTTGGATAGATAGCATTTGGTTAAATCCATTACTTTGCGTACAGTGGGATGCATTATATGTAACTTATTCTCTAGGATTTTTCGGGTGTTCATAAATCTTGTCTGCTTTTCCTCTGTCACCATTTCTAGAAGTCTACAGAAAAGAAAAGATGCATAAATCTTATACTATATAACATCTTGTGCATTAACTGACATAATTATTATCATATCAAATTATTAATTCTAAGCACCAGCTGTGACTTACTTCTTTCAATTTCATGACTCAAACTAAACATAAGCCTTTTTATATTAGAATTATCAAGTTTGTAGACACAGTAAGTTTTTAAATATACTAGTAGCATCATTAGTTTTTTAGTTACAAAAGTTAACATTTTCCAACACAAAAATGTATTTCCGATAGATACCTCCTCTCACATATTACATTTCCTCAATTTTGAGCTGCCCTCTAAATGCAAAATTTTTCTCTCGCCAGTAGCCTTGAGGTTCCCACCAAATTTGCATGTTTCTATGTGGTGTTGCTGAGCTCTAGCATGCAAATGAGTATGTGACAACCCACCATCAATAGGAGTGCAACACCCCCTCCTTGTGCAGCTGACTTCCACTCTACTGATTGTTCAATCATCACCTTGAGATTAGGCATGAAAAGATGCCCCAGACACTTGGAAGATGCATTGGAAATATGAAAGGAGGTAAGTATTTATTGGAAATACATTTTCAGTGTTGTAAAGTGTTAATTTCCAGTACAATACCTTACCTCTTCTCACATATTAGTTAGAATCCCACACTGAAGTGTTGGAGGGACTGGTGCAAAGTTATCTAGATCAGTTCAATTAGGAAAGTGCCCAAAGAGAACCTGCATACATCCAACATAACATATGGGCAATAGTAGGATGGAGGAAAGCAAGCATGGTGGGTCAACTCCAGACCAAAACGGGGCAATGTGAGGAATTTTTAATCCAGTTCACAGTATGAGAAAGGCCCTTACCAACCAAATGAATGAGGACCTATGCTGATTGGTCCTGCATCAGTCTAACACAAGACCACCTGGGAACCAACATCCAAGCAGCAGTAGGATGGGGAAACCAACTGAGGAAAACTGTATTTGTTGGTTAATATCCAAACAAAAACCAGGCAGCACTGGGGACTTTTTTTTGTCCATTCTGCAGTAGGAGGAGAGTTCACCACCACCACTCTACTCTCTACTGAGTGGAACTGGTCACACTTGGTGGTGGTGGTGGGGGGGGGCTCCATGGTCCAACACCCCGGTGGCTAGTAACTGGTGATTAGCAAGGACTCCCAAACTCCACTAGAAGTAAGGGGGTAAAAGTGCATTGGGGAGATGAGAGGAATGCAATATCTTAGGTTTCTGTAGTGGGTTACATGACACTGTTATTAAAATCAGGCCAATTCAGGTTTATTCAACTAGAACCTGAGAGATGGGCAACTATCCTGATGCCAGTTTACTCATGGTAGTCCATGAGTAGGTATGGTCTAGATTGGGCCTTATTTAGTAAATAATATACTACAAGGAATCTCTATCAATTTTGCAAAACATCCCACCTCATCAGTAAGCATAACAGACCCAAATGCCTGCATGGTGCAGATTCACACTTAAGCATACCCTGCCAGGTACCATATGACACTTAGCAGAATCCTGATATGTAGAATAGGGCCCATGAAAAGATAAGATAAATAGAAAAAAGAAGTTACCCAGTACGAGACTGTAAGGGGTATGGAGAATGGCAATGGGAGGCAAAAAATATCTCAGATGGCCAGATGATGAAGATAATGTGTGATGAAAGTATGAGGGGGTAGTTTACATGCCAATCTGGATGATCTCCTCCAATATACAATGGAAGAGAGCAGCCACAGAGAGAGAGAGAGAGAAGGTGTTGAATTTGGCAAGAGGAGACCTGAAAAGTAAACAAGAGTCTCTGTCCAAAGAAGTATATGCAAGACAGATAAGCTATTGTAGCCAACCTGTGAGAGTAATGGGAGAAAGATCTCTGACTGAAGAGGAGTTCTAAGGGGTAAAGAGATGGGAGCAGGAACCAGGAAAAGGAGCAGTGCAGGCCAAATAATAGCAAACTGCCAAGATTGGATAGAGAAGATTATCAGAATCAGAATAATGGTGGGCAATGGACAAAAGGGAGATAAGGGTGAACATGCTGTCCCATTCACAAGCCACAGACATTTTGAGTAGAAAAGCATGATTAGGATAAAGATGAATATAAGAATATGGGAAGCATCTGTAGCATATACGTCTGACCTTCTATGACAGCATGCAAAAAGAAGTAAGAAATAGTAAGAAACAAAAGATGGTACAATGAACAAGAGAATAAAGGTTCAAAAGGAGGAAGGGGAAGGGTGTGGAGAACAACATTCAGATCCCAATCAGGAAGGACAGCAGGACAATGAGGGCGAAGAAGGCAAAAAGAATGAAAGAGGATGGAAAAGTCAGACAAGGAGAATATACAGCCAGAATGGGAAGATTGGAAAGTATTTAAAAACCCTGTAGCCAGCAATGGTCAAAAGTGATAAACTTTGATTAAACAGACAAGGCCAAACTTAGAAAGGTGAGGGATAGAAGTTTGGGAAGGGGAGAAGTCATGATGTAGAGACAAAATACAAAAAATGCACCATTCACATTGATAAACAAGGTTAGAGGAAGAACACATGAAATGAGAAAGAAAAATAGATTACACATGAAGAGTGTCCAGAATGTCTTGCAAGGGACCAGACAAAAACCCATTTGTGAAGATGGAGTGCAGATACCACTGTACATGAGAGGGAGGAATGCAGATGAAGAAAAAGGGATGGATCATGACAGAGGTAGACGAAGGGGAACATAAGACTGCAGAAGGTGCAGAAGAAATCACAGTTGAGCTAGCCAACATGGAGTGATAAGGGTGGCTCGACATGGAGTTGCAGGATGAGGAACAGACCACAACAGGGCAAGTTTGGTGTTGAGTGCCTAAAGCAACCAGAAGAAGATTGCCTAGCCAAGAGCATAACCACTTGAATACCAGAGGATTGAGGGCTACTCTTTTGGTAGAATCTTGTCAAGTCTTGAGAGATGACTGGCAACTTGTTTCAGGGCAACCAGAATATGACAAGCAATAAGACATACTTGTAATAAATGGGTTCAGAAAAGGAGGTCTAGAGTGTGAAAACATAGAGAGTGAGACCAGGTGCCTCCTTGATGATTGATATAAGAGACAACTGTTGGTATAGATCATTATGAGGTGTCTATGGACCTTCAAAAAAAAATAATCCAAAGCTTGATATACAGCCAACAGTTCCAAGAGATTGATATGAAGGGTTTATTCGTTGTTGGACCACCAAACCAAAATTTTTTTAGAGTACAAATATGCCCCACCCCATCAGGGATGCATCCGTAAACAGATGAAGATTCAGGCAAGGAGAAACATCTGCTGAGTTATTGGCTTTGTCGTGTCACCAGGTGAAGTCGACTTGCAGAGAAGGAAGAAGGTGAATGGTGGAGGACGAGGGTTCCCAAGCAAGGTTCTCTGATTGTACAGAGTTCAATACTATGTGGAAACATGCGAGTTTAAGTGGGAGCCTAGTGGTAAGTGACAAATTATGTATATAGAGGGCAGGACAATATCAAGGAAAGCTAATATGTGAGAGGAGGTAAGGTATCGTGTCAGAATATAAATCTTTCACTTTTTCATTATTAATTATTTCACAATATTCTACAAGTATAAATAGACTTAAAATAAGACTCAAAACTCGAGCGCTTTCGAATAGTTGAGTATTCTTCTTGAACTCGAGTTTTGGGTCTTATTTTAAGTCTATTACGCTTTATATGTGATCCTTTGTGCTAACTCTTTTATCAAAACTACAAATATAAATATCATTCATTTTTTTAAATAAAATATACTCAATTTATGTCTTTTACTTAGAACTTAAATTAGATCACATTTTAATAATTTACTGCCACTTACATATGCCAATGTTCAGTTTTGAAACTGTTGTTTTGTCCACTATGATGAAGATTTTGAAACTAGGTGGATGGCAGCATGTATTCTATTACTTATATGTTACTTTCTCATCTTTTAATAAGAGGTTAGACATACTAACTTAATTGTAAGAGTGATGAGCTTGAATACTTAATCAAATGTGATTCTCATAACATTGTGCAGGGGCTTTGTCATGTTCAAAGTCTAAATTACTGTGGACTGTTTTATTATACACACTGTAAGTTAAAATTGTGTTTAAAATGTAATGTCCTGCTCAATTAAAAAAATAATGTATTTATCTGAATGATCCCTAAGTATGGAGTCAGTAACATGATGTGTCATTGAATACTTGATCTTATTGAATCCCCCATCCATAACTTGAGGAATTATGATGACATTGGAATAACATAAAACTAATGCTTATATCAACACATCATACATGTAGGATTTCTTTATATGAAATTCAGAAACAACAGTCTGTGTGATACACTATGAAAATATTGCACACACGTCACAGTTTGAATAGGGAAACTGATACTATTCTTCATTAAGTTAATTTCACTTACATTACAACAGGCATATATATATACTAACATTACAGCCAGAATAGGGAAATTTATACTAGATTACATTATGTTAATTTCACTTATAGTAGAACAGGTTTACATATATTAACATTACAGCCTGAATATAGAAAAACCAATACTACACTGAAATTACTTTAATTTAAATGACATAACCACATGCTTATATATGCTTATATTACAGCCTGAATAGGAAAACACAGATATCAGACTGCAATATCTTGTTTAATTTCACTAATAAAATGCCAGACTTAGAGTAAGCTCTGGATTGAAATTCCAAGAACAAATTGCATAACAACTTTTTTTAGGGTTAGCATGCAATGTGAACAACATAAAAATATGTCTTCCAGAGAAAATATGTTGACAAATCAATAAATTACCAAATTACATTGTTCCTCAATATATAAATATATAGTATTAAACCATTCTTTATACAAATAATGTATCCAAAAAAATGCAGAAGTTTATTATACTCTTCTATTCAAGTTGTTATCCATCAACATATGATGAGATTACCACAATGCTGGAAAATTCAACTTAAAGAAAACTAACAGTGTACATTGTGG